CAAATTAGAAAATAAATAAATAAATAGAAAAACCGAGTCGAATTGTAATTTCGATACGGCTCGGTTGAGTTATTTTAGCATGAACAAAATTTTTGTCGGTTTTTTTTTGTGTTGTTGTTGTGTGGTTCGATTGAGTTAGTTTTTTATTTCTTCAATTTGGTACGATTTTGCACGAACTGAAATTAACTGCATAAAAAAAAAAACTGAAAAATCAAGCCGAAAGTGTAATTCAGTGTAGTTTGGTTCGATTATTTTAAGTGTGAAAAAAAAAAATCATTCTTTTTTGACGTGTGACAATAAATATTTTCATTAAACGTTCATTAGTGTTTAGAGAAGTTCAACTAATCTCAAATTTATTTATATCTTGGAAATAAATAAGAAAATTCGGATAGTATTTTATAGTATCAAATACTAGAATTTATGTTTCATTTTGTGATTGCGTAAATCAGTTGTTCCTATAATAAAACTGTTGAGAATGGCAATGACACCCAACATGTATTCTAAAAAACCAACGGCCTTTGATTGGTTTTATATATCATTCCATACATTTATACAATTATTTCCAAAAATAAATCTATGAATTTTACTATTTTCTTGACAGTTGTATCATGCACATGAAATTTTATTTCAAAATATTATGAGGATGCTTGGATACAAAGATCTCAAAAAAATCTGAATATTTTTAACTCAACAATTTTTGTAACTCAATCCTACTATTATCAATATATAATTAAATAATATCAATCAATTATTCCTACACACCATATCAATTTTAATTCACTGTTCATCCACTCACATAATTTTAATTAACAATCAAAGAGTTCTATTTGTCGTGATATTTGTTCCGATCATTGGCAAGGCAATCATTATATGAGAATTAATTGCCATTAGTTTTGCTTTGCAAAAATGTTCAATTGCTTATGTGGGACTTAATTACTCTCACAGTGCTTATAATATCACTCGTTTAATTGAACGTGTGTTAAATATGTATAAAATTTGTCAAAAAAAGGTTTTTCATTTCTTTTGATAATGCTAGTGCTAATATTGTTTTCTTTGTCTGAGCTTAGATATATTTGTCGTCCTATGTGTTGAGGAAAGTTTCTTCCATATCCGGTATATGTGTCATGTCCATAATATTTGTGTTCAATTTGGTTATAATGCTTTGAAAGATTCGGTCGCACCTGATATGGGAAATTATCTCCAGACGGGTAAACCGGCTCCTTGGACCGGTTAAGTGAATCAGGATGCAAAGGAGGATCACGCTTGGTCACGATGTTGAGCCAAGAAGATAGAGCCTAGTATCATCAAGGGGAAGGTGATGAAGGCCTAAACACGAGCAATGGGGAAGATCTAGCTGATGACGAGTAGATCGAGCAGAAAGCCATCTGCAAGGCTACAACCTTGGTCGAACGCAACCCCGAGAACAACCTAATGGTCGATCTCGTCAGGAATAAGAGACAACTTAGGAAGTTGACTCAAAAAAAGGTCAAAGGGCGATAATCACTAACGGAATTCCAGACGTGTCAGAAAGACGTCAGCAAATCGTGAGAATTCTATTTGCCCCATGTGAGGAGGACGCGTGGCGCGAAGATATTGGTGCAACGGATATTGGCGACGGTTACCTCTAACACACGCACAATGTGTGTGTACTGACGGACAGGCCCGGGCAGCCAGCTCAGCAGATCCGGGCAGCTCCTAGGACAGGTATCTTACCCCTATATGTATGGGGTAAAAGTTTTTCTTACTCAACACGATCAATACATTTTTTACCATTGAGAATTGATTGAGAAAATACTGACTTAAGCTTTGGAGGCTCTTCACCGGAAAATTCCTCCGGTGTGAGAGTTCTTTGTAGGTGTGTGACATTCAACCAACGAGAAGGAAGTCGATCTATCGAGTTCCAGTCGGTCGAAGAGTTTTACGTTACCAGCACCCATTATGGAGGTCGTTATATATTTGCTCCGTCATCCTCAAAACATACAAAAATGGGGAAGACATTGTAAAAATGCTAATGTTATACCCAAAAATTCCAATCAGACGTTTCTATCAGGTGGAATTCAACTTACAAAATGTAAACAAAAATGTGCGAATTTACCCATCAATTACAGACCTTTTTTAGCGTTATGACTACAATATCCCCCTTAGTATAGAGAATTAGAAGAAATACAACTCTTATTCAAATTTTGGGAACATTTAAAATTGATATTGACGTACTTTCTGGTGTTTACTATCCTATTACTCAACTTATCATTTTCAATATGTACCCTTAATATGGGAATTTAGTGATATTTATGATCCTTATACACATCGTGACCTCGTCAAAGATATGTTGCGAAAATGGTTAAAATAATGAATGTATTTTTAATTGTGACTTTGTTAGATCCATCTATACGTGAAAGTGGTTTCCTGAACCAACTCCACATTTATTATGAACTTATGTATCAACTCGCACTTCCCATTGCTGTTGTACATGTCATTGAACGACCTTGAGAGTCGTCAAGGAAAATAATGCCTATTGTTTGACTTGTCTAAGGAAACAACAATCAGCCTCGAGAAAATTCGACACTATTTTTTTCTTCTACTTTCCCATTATCCTCAACAATCGACGGATTTGGGCAAAAACTTTGATGATTAGGCTTCATCATTTGATCCCTACAAAAATGCTAGAATTGAAAATAGTAAGGGGACTGAATATGATGAACTCATCACTTTTTTGTCATGGGTCTCAAACTTACAGTGGCCAGCTTACTGTTCCCGCATCACATTCGATGTCTTAGATTGATGGTGAAAATTAGAAACCACTGATCCAGTTCCATCCTTGATCGCTAAGGAGATTTTTTATTGTCTCGGCCTCAAATGTGGCAGTTGAACAAGCATTTAGTGAGGGAAGATATACTTTGGGCGTACGACGGTCGAGGCTAACACTACAAAACTTTGAGGCGATCAAACGTTGTTGAGTGATTGGAAAAATGTCAAAAAAAAGGACACAAATGACCATACTAACTGAAGAGAATGACAAATAGTTGGATGATTTTAGTGCTAATACTAGAACTGGCATAACCAAAGAAGACGACGACTGCACTGTAATTACTATCGTTCAACACTTCTAAGGTTGGATAATGCTCTAATCGGACATGCAATTTCTTCATCAATGTAAGTAAGGTAACAGACTACGAGTACTTTGATTTTCAAAGTACGAAATACATAAACAATTTAATTGACATATTTTTAGTAAAAATATTATTTTTTAACAGAATTAATATTCCTACTTAATTGATAATTTAACTTATAATATGTCAAGTAATTAATCTAAGTCTAATTTTTTTATTACCTTTCCAATTCCTATATACGAAAGTAATGGACCGCCGAGCTTGAACCGGTTCCAATTGAGCAAAAGTCTTGAACAAGAATTGTTGGTTCCGAAGCAAACCCGGCCCGACCCATTGTTAGCCATGTCTAGGCTAGTTTGTACATGATGGGCTTACGGTTTGAAGTTGCCATTTCCGAAATTTCAAATGGGCCATGCTTGACTGCATGCACAAAGACATCTCTATGGAAGGTGTCATGTACAACAATCTCAAAGAAAGTAGAAAAACAAAATCAAGAATTTTTTTATTTTTATTTCTTTTTATGTCTACACTTTTAGATAAAGAAAATCGATTATTTAATGTTGCCAATTACCACTTGTTTAGTAACAATACTTTTACACCGTATTTATTAATTCAAAACATGTTTAGCCTAAGTGACAGATTCGCACGCTTTGGATGCTGACATGACGAAAATCTATGTTTCGTGATGTTATTTTTATAATATTTTTGCTCTGAAGTTAAATTTGATATTAAACACAAATAACTTTTATCATATATTTCTTAACTCAACACCCGTGTTGTACACGAGTATTGTAATAGTTCATTTGTTAATCCACAATGTCACGACAATAATATTTTTACAGTGTAATAAATATCAGGTCAAAATAATTTAATGAGGTATAATCATTAAATTATTTTTCATCCACGGTTAGTTTTAACTATGGAGCATATTTGATGATATTTTATTACTAGTATAACACTCGTGTATTACACGAGTGTTTGCTAATTTTTTTCTTAAAATTTAAACTTAATGAGAAAAAGTAGTTTGAAAATTTAAATACCTTTTATAAAAATATATATATATTATTATATATTTATTATGATACTTTTTATTTGTGCGACTTATTTGTGTTATATTATACTAATTTTTTAACTTACACTATATAACTACATTAAATATAAATATATCAATTGAGAAATAATTTTATTTTTTTAATGAATTTTAAAAATATTATTATTTTTATTATTATAAAGATAAATATAATTTATTTATTTTATATATACAATATGGATGTCAAATCGAAGATCATCAAAAGATGATAAATTTGATATATTATATATGTAAAACCGATAAGAAATACAAAAGTTATCTACTTTTAAAATACATTTATAATTCAATAGCTTATTGAAGGAAACAAATCAAAATTTAGGAATATATTAGTCATTTAGTGTCTCACTATGTAAAATTACAAATAATTAAAGGGTTATATTAGTAAAAGTGATATTAAAATACCTAAGTTAACTAAATAATATTTATGGAATACCCGAACCTAGATTATTAATTATTAATATATTAATATTATTTGTCCAAACCTAATTACGAAGCATGATTCTTCGCCAAATAGGATTCTAAAGCACCAGAAGCAGCCACGTAGGTTCAGCGCATTCTGGAATTATATATAGGGAGGATTTCTACACTAGACCAATTATAATATCAAATTTCCATTTCATAACTAATAGTCACACACATAAAAATCATTTTTATTCTATCAGATATTTTTTTTCATCACTATCATTTTTATTCATTTTTCTTTCAAACCACAATCACATATGCATATGCGTCTCATATCTGTTGACTTTCCCTTTTGATTTTTTTACACATTTTGACTTTGGTCAAGTTTCCTTATCCATGATTCTAAACAAGAAAGAGATTATTCTATAACGTATTTGGTGATTGCTAGAATAACAATTGTCTTAAATGCTTTAATTTAAAAACTAATATTCGATTATGCGCACATACAAATATATACAAATATGTTTAAATTATTATAAGTTATATGTATGTACATAATATTAAAATCACAAGTTAGATGATCGTAGCACATTTTAAAATTTTGTCATGAACATTATAAAAGTATTCAATTTCATCACTATATTGATTGTATAAAATAAAATGGATAATGTAGCTTTTATAAATTTGAGAGATCATAACCTATTAATTATCTTAGAAATTATTTTTATTATTTTTATATTATTATTATTTATAAATTTTAAGAGGCTTTATTATACCACTAAAGTCAATTAGCATATTTAGAGAAATGCTTAAGAGCAATAAATAGTTTAAAAAAAATTGATAAATAATATATTTTTTTACTTATTGAACTTCCATATATCATTTAGTGTGAATTATTAGTTTTAGTAATAACTATTATATAATAGAATAATTAAAAATATGATTACAATTTAGTTAAGCATTATTTAAAAAGTCATTGATTAAATTTCAGTTACGATTTAAAAAAATATTGAATTGTAACAGAACAATGTGAAAAATTAAATAGTTTTGTTAAATTTTTTGTTAACAATTATTTATATAGATCGAATATTCATTCATTAATGAGTTGTTTAAGGTATTAATTAATATAAAAAATAAAATAAACATGTTTTTGTAACCTTCTTTTAGAGGAAAAATAAATGATATTTTATTAATTGTTTTCCTAGAAATTATATAGATATAGATATCAATTAGAGAAATTTATTTCAATTAATTTTTTCTAAAATATTTTTATTACATCAAAACTTTTCAGGCATAAGCTATTTGCGCGTCTATATACAAAAATATCTGCTCAAAATGAGTTTTTTTTACCACAGTTAATTTTGAAAAAGTGGTACGTTAACTGTTTTGGGATTTTTATTTTATATTAGAATATCATTTAAAATAAAATAATTAAAGTTGTATTGATGTAAAAGTATTAGAGAGATGATATGAAGTGATAGTTAGTTAAAAATATGTCAGTGAATAATAAATTAAGGCTGATCTGATGTGTAAAAATGATCGTTTGAGATTATTTAATTATATTGATAATATCGAGAATATAAATGTTGAGTTAGATTTTGAATATGAATTTAGTAAGAATTGAGATATTTCATATACAAACTCACCAATGGCATAAGTTTCTAGAGCAAGCATAATAACCTATCCAATTACGTGGATAAATAAAAGATAAATTACATCATTTAAATTAATTATCCTTATATGGTATGCTCTACACTTCTGAACAAAACATACTAACATAGTTACATTGTCAAAATAATTTGTCAAAATAATTAGTCGGTTTCCCCGTGAATCCGAAAACTGGAAGGTTCCTGTACCGAAAAAAAAAAAAAAATTATTAATTACGTAGCACACAAACTCTACCAAATAATATTATATAGCAATATTATGGGCCCAAACTTATTGGGCCTCAAAATCCTCCAAATGAATGAACGAATGCTACTGGTCCCTTGTGAAAATAAAATAAATTTACATATCTTCCTTTTGCATGTTCTCTCTTTACTTCCCACCCACGAGTTCCTTGTGAAGTATAATAATAGTAAAATGCATGCGTTGTCTAGCACGCGAAAATTAATTTTTCGCAACTCACGTTTCTTTTCCTTTGTCCATAGTTTTTAAACCCGGCCCGGTAATCGACCCGGGCAGGTTTCCAGATCATCGAGTCACCGGTTCAATTGTTAGGTCATTGGGGCAATTGCTGAACCAGATAATTAATTTTAAAATTTTTAAAATTATATATAGAATAGTTTTGTTATACATAAAAGTAACAAAATTAAATGTTTTGTGTGTAAAATTTGAACATTAAAGTGTTAATAATAGGCAAAATTGCGGCTAATATCATGACATTTATCGAGATTGCAAATTAATCACAACCTTTTAACTTTTGCATTGTATATCACGACCTTCAATTCTTTGTAAAACGATACACGATTTTCATCTGCTGGCCCAACTCGTCTGATGTGGCACTCAAAATGCCAACGCACATGCTGATGTGTATTTGACAGATAATTTTTTTGGCAAAATTGCGGCTAATATCATGATATTTATCGAGATTGCAAATTAATCACAACCTGTTAACTTTTTGCATAATATATCACGTCCTTCAATGTTTTACAAAACGATACATAGTGTTGCACGTGTATTCAAACACTGTCGTCTCCCAAGGAAGGTTAGTCAGATTAATTTGCACGTGTATTCAATCACACGAAAAGAGAAAACAAATCCTAAACACTCAAATTCAATTGTTTTTGGTTTTAATTATCAACTACAAATTTTAAAAATAAAGCAAGACACACTTCAAATTCCAAATGGAGTTCAAATAATGATTGGTGAGTTAGAGAGCCAGAGATATTCGTTTATGGTTCTCAAGCAATCAACTAGCACGCAACCGCTCGGTTAAGAGATCAAATAACATACTTGTTTAGAGGTTTGTTCTTAATATCTTTTCGTAACAAGAGAACAAACATGAACAATCAATTATCGAACAATTAACACATAGACAATACATTAACTAGAGATATTAAACGGGCTAGCCCCACTACGCCAAAAAAGGCTTCAGATAACACTTTTTACATAACGCTTTTGTAAAGAAGTGTTATCTAAAAAACATGTAACCCTTAGATAACACTTATTTTAACAAGCGCTATAAGAAAACTACAAATACATAACACTTTATTTAAAAGTGCTATGTGAGTTATAACACTTATTCATATTATAACACTCTTTTTTAAAAGTGTTATGTAAGCTACAACACTTCTATAGTGTTTCACATAACACTTACTCCTATTCCTATTTGTTTCCCACTCCCATATAATAAAAAATTCAATTTAAATTTTAAATTAAAGAATATATCAGGCCAAAAGAATCGTGCGAACACTAAAAATTGAGGATCCTTAGAACCCTACTTCTCGCTACGACATTCTTGGCGAATTTCATCTTCAATTCCTGGAGTATTTTTCCAATCGAGTAGAAGGAGGAGAAAGGAAACGAGATTAAGGGCAACAAATTTCTTGAACCACCTTAT